CCTTCCTTCCTTCCTTCCTTCCTTCCTTCCTTCCTTCCTGGGGGTCTGAGGGAGAGGGAGGAGACCCTTTATCTCCTTACCCCCCTCCCCAACATCTAGTCTGATGGCAATTATGGCTAAAAATAAATCATGCTCAGGCATGAAAATGTGTCACTCAAACACTAGACTTTTCCGCACACACTGAAAAAAAATTAGAGGGTCAAAATTGCTCAAAATTTCTCTCCAAATCAGGGTGGTTTCTAAAAAAAATATTCAAAAGGAAGCTTTTCCTATCTTTTTTAGATTATGTGATATTCTGGATAAAGAAAGGGATCAAAAAGAGAGGAGAAGGCAAACACCAACTGTTAGTTAAGACAAGTAGACAAATCTTTGCCCTATAACTTTCTCTCCGCTGTGCTGATTCAAATACAAGCGTGGAACAAGTTTGCAATCTCCCCTTCAAGTGTTACTACATGGCAGGTGTGTTGAAGAACAGACAAGTAGGGATAAGCCTCATTCTTTCTATGTTTTTCTATATTTTGAGCCAGGCAGCTCACTAAGAAGTCTTCAATGCCAACTCTGACCCCAGACTTACACATGGAATAGGAAACCGCAACTGAGCCACATCCATGTTCTTTTTCAATGGGATTGTGACTCTATTTGGCAACACCAGCCGGGAAGCAATGAGATCTTGAATTAGTGAGTCCGACAATACACTGAAATAATAAAGGAGACATTTAATTCAAAATAAAATGGAAGAATCATACGTGTGTCATACTGCTCTACTGAGCTTGTGATTCTTGCATTATCTGTAGACTCCATCTTAGCAGACTGCCAAGGTCTGTTGCTCGTCAAAGAGATATGGGATGCAGGGTAGGGGGAGTAGAAGGGATGCTGGCTCAGGTTTTGTTTTCAGCCTGAGAGTTTAGGATGCTTTGTTACAAACAGATAAGTCATTTAAGACATAACATCTTGACTGCTGAAGAAAACATAGAAAACAAGGTTATCTACTGATGTGCAGATATGCCTTTATGCCTCGTTTATTATGCCTTCAAAATGCACTTGACTCTGGCAAGTGCCTGAAGAAGTTTCTGCTGTTTTCTTGGCAAGATTTTCAGAAGTGGTTTGTGCTTGTCTTCTTTCTAAGAGGGAGAGGGACTGGACCAATCACTCAGCTGGCTTTGTGCTGAATGAAGGCGGGAGTAGAATTCAGTCTTTCAGATTTAACCACTATACCAGCACTTCTCAACCTTGGCAACTTGAAGAAGTATGGATTTCAAGTCCCAGATGTTCTATTGCCAGCTCACTTTGTGGGTACCAAATCTATATCTACTTTCATCTCCTGTTAAATTCTGTTATTTCAACAGCTTTTACTTTTCTTATCAGTAAGTGTAAAACAAGAAAACTCCTAATGCCAATAAATCTACAGGTAATTATTTTTTGGAAGCAAAAACTCTTCTTACGAGGTAAGAACAATATGTTTTCTTCATTAAAATAACCAAATCAAAATCAATAAAAAGAAACATAAACATTCAAGGACATCCTTATTGTCAGGTAGCCTAAAAAGAAATGTTGACATTGTCAAAACCTCAGCAAAATAATTCTCCTTGTGGACGTGACAATTTCTTTTGGTTAGTGTTGACATTACTTTTGTGGTGACACAAGGTGTGGTAAAGTAGCAAAGCAAACCAAAAACTCCCATTAGAAACCAAGTAGCGCAAATGGTCCCAACATTTCTAACTAGAATTACAAAGAAAAACTAAGAACCTTTAAGAATTTTACTTGCAGGTTCATTGTGTGGTCAGTTCTTATGCCCTTACTTTCTAGAATGTCTATGAAGGACGTAGGTTCTGTTTGGCTCTGTGCTCACCCACAATAAGTCATCCCTGTTGTAGAATTGCCATAAAACATCTCTTTTGTTTGATCTCCATTTTGAGATTTTATTTAGTTGATATTATTGTTTATAAATAATTCAAGGTAGTGAACATTCTTAATAGTCCTTTATCCCTCTGACAACAACAATCCTGCGAGGTGGGTTGGACTGGGTTGGAGTGGCTGGCCCAAAGTCATCCAGCTGGCTTTTCATATCTAAGGCAGGACTAGAACTCACAGTTTCCTGCTTCCTAGAACAGCAAACAAACCACTAAACCAAACTGGGTATTTAACATTTAGATTGTTCCTAGCTCATTTGGAGAGAGGCACTTACCTAATGCCTGGAGCATCCAACAGGTTTGTTAGCCCCGCCCAATTGATTTCCAAGTGCTGCAATAATAATTAACCCAACAGCAAAAATGCAAGGTTAATAACTGAAAATAGAGCTGGTTTAAAACATAGGATCATGGAAATCTACTTTATATCAAATTAGACACATGGTTCATCAAAATCCTATTGGAGACACCAGAAAATGAACATGCAGTCTTTTTCTTGATGCATATAGCATACTATTGAAAAATTCAAGGATATTGAGTACAATAAAATCACTATAATTATAACAATAAGATTATTCAAACATTTGACAACAAATAAAGCATCCATCATTCATCTGATATATTTATGGTATTTTAATTCAGCACTGTGTCACCGTTCTGAGTGAATTCAGATTGTCAACCAAATAAGCCTTGAGGAATTATTTGGTCATTTCTATTACCCATCCATTATAAAAGGCATTTTGGCTACCGCTACAAGTTCATGAGCAAGAAAACTAACCACCTAGCAAGGCAGCCTGAGGGCAGGAACATGCATAAATGTTTTGTGTTCAATGGAGATGAATAAGCATCATCAAGACCTTGGTTCATTTCCTTCACTGGAGCCTGTCACACTTCTCATGTCTTTGCAATGAAGGGCTGAGACAATCGGTATGTGTCAACATTCTAAATGTTCTTAACACATGTTTGTCAGATGTATATAGTTGGCCAGAACTCACATAGCTAATTTCAGGAATAACAGTGCACTCTGAGTGCTGAATTATCATAGCAATGCATGGACCTTCTCTCCTGCTTCCTCTATGGGTTGGAGATGACAACCAGAGGTTCAGAGACTTCTTCCATGAATGAATCCGCCTGTGCAACAAAACATCTCTTTCAATGCTGTAGCCTTCTGCATTTTAACTCTGATTTTTGTTTTTCCTTGTAAGGAAAATTGGTAATTTGTTCCTAACTCTGTGTTCAAACTACGTTTGATTCATGTGTTTATAAGGTTTTATTATTGGTAAACCACCCAAAATCACTTAAATAAGTTGGGTGATGTAGAAATTGAATCAATAAATACAAATAAATAAATACAGTATATAGGTGAAGATGGTGTCTGAACATACAAGACAGTGAACATTATTTTTAGTGCAATGAAGGCAAAGGGGAGGCTGAATAATCTTACACCAAAGCAACCTTTTGAACTAATACTATATTTTTTCCCCCTAGGATACAAAATAATTGAAAAGTCAGAGTAAGCACCATATAAAAGCTGTGATCTTATGCATATTTATATGATAAAAGAGTGCTTCAGATGTTGCCTTCCTCTTATCATCCTGTACTTTGGGTACACAAGTTGTATGCTAATTAAAATAGACTGCCAATAGATTTACAGATTAGTGGGCTTCTGTGAATCTTCCCCCCTCCCCCCAAAACTGTTCAAGTACTTAAGACCAATTTTCTTTCCATACCACAGTTTTAATTTACAATTGTATGACAGTTTGCTGGGACAGTGCACTGATCATTTGGGAGGGAGGAGGAAGGAATAAAGGAAGGCACAAAAATTGAATTGTTTCACTACTGAACTTTGTTTAAGGATCCCTCAAAGGTCCTTCAGCTTTGAAGACATAGTCCAAGGACTTGGGGGAGACACTAACATTTAGGAGTAGAAGTTTTGTAAGATGGAATGAAATTCACTCATTAGATAGATTGGTCTATAGTCTACACTATTTGCACCAACATGGAGAAAAACAAAATCTCCTTTAATAAAAGCAAGAAAACTGGAGTAGAAGTTGCTTTCTCAATAGGTTAGGGATGGACTTAGGCAGTGGTAATGCAGTGCAGCTCACCTGAAATGACTCAACTTCACCCTGAGGCAACCTGACAGCACACATGTTCTTTTGGAAATGGTTTCAGATATGTGAAACTCATGCTGAAGAAACATGTGGTTGACTTAATGTTCATTAATTTAGATGAAACTTGAAAACCCATTTGGTTCTTGAAAGTTAACCTTTACTAGCACTATTAAAGGTTGGATTAATTACTTTTAAATGGTTTCATTTTCCTTTTATAAGAGCACTAGGTTACTAGGTTGTATTAATACAGATGGATTCGGAAACAGAATTAGTTAAAGATTGTATGATAAAGTGGGCTCAAAATATTGAAGAAGCAATAATGTTGGATACATGGGAAAGAATATGGGTAAGAAATGTGGAGTTCACACAAGGTATATGTACTGAATCCATCTGTATTAATACAACCTAGTAACCTAGTGCTCTTATAAAAGGAAAATGAAACCATTTAAAAGTAATTAATCCAACCTTTAATAGTGCTAGTAAAGATTTCTATTCAGGTTAACTTTCAAGAACCAAATGGGTTTTCACGGTTCATCTAAATTAATGAACATTAAGTCAACCACATGTTTCTTCAGCATGAGTTTCACATATCTGAAACCATTTCCAAAAGAACATGTGTGCTGTCAGGTTGCCTCAGGGTGAAGTTGAGTCATTTCAGGTGAGCTGCACTGCATTACCACTGCCTAAGTCCATCCCTAACCTATTGAGAAATCTTTAC